AGCGTATGTTCTACGATTTTCAAAATATTTTCACAAAGAATATTTTTTGTCTGTTTCAACATTTGCAGACCACCAACATTTAATTTTTTCATCAGTAACGTATCATTTTACCAATGACACCTCATCAAAAAGGTCATTTTTGCAAATATTATTTTTCAGAAAATGGTTACTAATATATTATTAAAAAGATTTTTCCACATATTCCCATAAAATCTCCTTTTTTTAATGTCACCCAATGAAAGTTTTTAATATCCTCGAATTGAACTGTCCATTCTTCAAGATATTCAAAGCAGTTATTATAAAAATTTCTGACTTCTTTCAGAAAATCAGGTCGTTTAATATGGCACCTTGTTCTTCCAACCTAGTAATGTCCTTTCGAATAACTAAAGGAACGAAATCGTTATCAATTCTTTCTCGCAATCTTGTTTTTAAATTATTGATTTCATTTGACACTTCCGTAATTGAAATTTTGTCCCCTTCAATAATTTTCACAGCATTGTGAAATAATGTAGCTTGGTTGTGGATGAACTGAAGACAAATTTGTGATGTGTAATTTTCAAAAAACAGCTGCAATATTCTTGGACATTTATCTTGTGATAAAAGTATGATATTCGTGGTTCGTATATTTTAAAAATATTTTCTACAGCTGGTAAAAGAGCTACCATCGTATTTTGCTGTAACCAATAATTCTTTTATATTCGATTTCTGCGCTTTCACAAAAATCCTTCAAACTTTCGACACGCACAGTATATATATATGTGTGTGTGTGTGTGTGATGTACCAGCTTTTGTCCGGAAGAAATAGATTGATGAAGAATCATAGATGTAGTCGTAGCTCAAATTATCAGACGGTAAGTTTAAAAAACAGAGTACACTTATTATTATTCATAAGAAATAGTAGTTACAAAATCAGATATCCGGAGTAAACAAAAAAGAACTACTAATAACTTTTTGTATGAAGTTTACTGCATCGTTACATTAAAGAAAAAGACCCCGATATTCCTTTGCCAGTCCTTTTATAGCCTCTGGAAAGGCAGAGCTTCCAAGAAATGACGTCAGCCTCGTCAGCCAATCCAGCTGGCTTTAAATATTTCCAGAACATTCTATAACTGTACGTGTAGAAAAGGCGGGAAAAACAACTTGACTACGGGGCTGTGCATTTTAATTCCACGTACTTTTAAATAAGAGACCGTCGCCATTAAAAATGAAAAGAACATACAGTTAGAATTTTAAGTGTATTTTTGACTATGGAATTTTATTATTACATCTCATATATATATATATAAATACGAATAAATTTTTGAAATAAATTTTCAACATCCACTGGAAGTAAGTCAGATGCTGTTTGAATAGTATTCTGTAGAATGTGCGCTGCACAACCTGCTCGAATAATTTTTTGGTTCAAACGTTCGCTAAGTTTCGTAACAACGTTATTGAAGCCTCTTCTAGCTTTTCTACCAAAACTTGCGTTAGTGTCAACAATAAAATTATTGCCTCACAATAGGCAATAATTTTATTTTTCAAATTATTCTTTTTCTAAATAGTACTTATTGAATGAAAAATTATTTATGAAGTTTCACCCGGCAGCCGCCCAGACTGAATAGTGATTAGGGAAGCCTGACTGCAATACCTAAGGGCCTGGGTTCGAATTCCGGAGAAGGCATGGTTGTAACTGTCCGTCCTTTCATAGGAGACAATGGTGGCCCACCTATTAGGTGCCTCCATAATAAAGAGAGCACCACGTCTGGCCTTAGTAGATTAATGGACTCTGTTACAAAGCTGTAACTGTTCACAATCTGCCATTGGGGAAAAAAAAGGTTTATCTGGCAATGTAACAAAATCTAATATTCTAATTTGAATTCCTGTTTCTAGATCAAAAAGTCTAACAATTGTGGGAAATAATTTTAAATCTTTATGATTGGAAGCATCATATTACATGGATATAAAAGTGCATTTAATCTAATTCTTTCTGCAGTTGTGAAAACGAATATGGTAAAAAAACATTACAAATAATTACTTCGGTTTTTGTCCTTGCACGTGCAAATTTTTTGTCGTAAATGTTTTGATCATTTGTGACGTACAATCAATTGATCTGAAACTTTGATTGTGGTTTATGGTGTGGAAATCAAATAGCCCTTCAGCTAATGCTAGATGTTCCTCCGTTAACAATACATATCCTTGACAAAACGTAATGACAATGATCGAACACCAGCCAGTAAATCCAACTCCTTATATCGCCTAATTTAGTTTACTCTGCATGCATTTTATGTTTTTTTTTTCATTATTTTTTTACATTCACTATAATAATTAATAAATAATAGATATTATATTTTTACAGTACATTTAAAATAAGAAATGCAGATGTTTTCTAAAAAGCGGGACATTTTTAAAAATCGGCGGGACAGTCCTCCAAAAAGCAGGACTGTCCCGTCAAAATCGGACGTGTGGTCACTTTATATATAATGTATTTATTTTACATATAATGTAATTATATATAATGTATATATTGACGTGATCAGTAACGAATATCCCACCAGTGGGGGTCTTTCCTTGATCACTTTCCGGTCATCGTGGACGCTGTTTTCGATTTAGAAAAACAGAAAGTTTTCTAATATAAACCTGATGTCACACAGGGTTTGAGGATGAAATATTTCTGAATGTCTTTTGAAGAAGTTTTGGGACATGTGTTGGGGTTTTATTCAGTTTCATTCCGTTAGCAATGGCTAAGAGACCTTACTTAAAAAATTAAAAATTTGTTCAAAATCACCGGATACTCCAACTTTCCGTCTAACTGGAGTTTCCGAGAATTTACGTTGACGGAAAAGGTAATAAAGGTAGGAGAAGATGCGTTGAGTGCGCTAAAATCAAGGAAAAGCGAAAGTAAAAAACGTATTTTGAGTGCGAAATATGCAAGATCCTTGTTTTGAATTATTTCACACACAGCAGAATTTTTAAATTGGAATTTAATTACCTACAGTAATTTCTTGGTTATTTTTTTTTTTTTTTTTTTTTTTTTTTTATGTATTTCGTATTTGCAAATTTTTTTTTCATGTTTATAGTATTTATTTCTGTTGTATAGTTATGATTTTAGTATTTTTCCTGTTTAATTTATTTCTGATATATTGATATTCTTTATATTGATACACATTAAAAACAAGTACATTAAAAAAATGCATTACATTAAAAATTCAAAAATTGAAGTCATAATATCAAAATGCTTTTTTTTTATTACTTTTTAGGTTTAACTTCTGAAAATGCGCAGACCTCCCGGCACTGGTACTTAAGGCGTTAAATTTCCATCATAAGAAATTAAAAAAATCTTCGTAAAACAAAAACACATAATCAGATGTTATACACCGGCGATTCACTCGAAAGTAAGCGGCTGTAATGTAGAGTGAGTAGGAGTTTTGAAGCAGGAGAATTGAAGAATGTGCAGTGCCCTCGCCGGATCTCGAGCGTGGACCTTGTACAGTCATTAAGTTCTTTTGAAGCAGGAAATGTAAAAAATGGGCACTGCCCTTACCGGGACTCGAAATTGGATCTCTCGGATACTCGCCGAGTGTGCTACCGTTACACCATGAAGGCATACACCAAGGAAGGAGAAAATACCTTATAGTAACGTAAGTGGTAACGCCGACTTCTATTTACTAGGTGAAACTAGTCGGTATTTCCTTCAAGTCAAAAATTTAAAAAGTAGGGTAGGGTTTGCAAATACGCCGTCTTCCTAGACTCACCGAGAGCAAATTCTCATAATAATGATTAGATCTAGGTCAAACTGAGCAGCAGTAGCTCGGAGTTAATATCCACTGCGGAGACTCCTGCGATCAGATTCTAGCTTGTGTTGTTAAGAAGTCATTCTTCTTACGCGATATAATAATACGATCTTCAACAGAAAGAAACAACAGCTAAACGCGATTTGCAAACAGAAATATCGGTATTTTAGGTTGCTTTTAAACCACAGAGTATTAAGTCATTATACTCCGTGTTTTAAATACTATTTAAAGGTGACATTATTTTTTCTGCAGCTTGTTGTGCGAAATGAAACATTTTCCTTCTTTTTTAAAAACATTTCAAGTTCTTATGTTTCCTTCGTAGTCTAGGATGGAGGGAAAACATGGAGTTGAACACAGGCTATAATTTTATTGTAAATTGTGAACTAACACATCTTTCTCAAAGCGTTCTCTGAACATTTTACTAGTTTTTTTTTTTTTTTTTTTTTTTTTTTTTTTTTTTTTTTGTTTTTTTTTTTTTTTTTTTTCCTTCAAAGAAGGTGTGTGAACCTGAGAAAAGTTGGCGCTGGCTGATTGATCGAAAATGAGATCATTCTCTGAAATAGTTCAAAAGTCCCGTTATTTTGCATTTTGAAACGTTATAAAGAGATCTTTTAATATCATTTATAACTTTTAATCCTGTTTTAATACTATTTATATCTGCGTCGTTTTGCATTTCAGTACTTCTCAGAATAGCGATAACCTAACAAATTAATGTAAAATCTAAGAAATGATTTGAAATACAGTTCGCATGTAGTAATAATAGATATAATCCAACTAATCATTAGAAAGTCTAAGAAAAGGTTTGAAATACAGTTTGCATGTAAGAGTAAGGGTAAATTCTATATCACCTTGTGCAATGAATGTTTCATTAAAGACAAATATTTTATCTGATTACTAGTAAAGATTTTTCATCAACACTGGTAATTTATTTACAGTTGATTTCCTTACTTTCGATGCTTTTTACCAAATTTATCGTCAGTAGTTCCATCGTCAAGAAGTCAAGATTTACTGCATGTTTAAATATCAAGCCTATCATAAGTTTTATAATATTGTGAGTAAATTAACTCATTCAGAAATTCACATTTTTACGTAAAAATGTATTTTATGGCTGTAATTTCCCTATCGTCTTTTAATTCCATCTTATTATGCACAAGCCACAAATAAAATTTATTGGAGTATCTGTTTCTGTAATTGGCATCACAATATAATGCCTCTGTCGGCAATTTCCGCTTCCGCTCAATTAATTAGCTAGTGTCAAATCATACATTCTCGTATTTTGATAAGTATGTGTTATACTTTTACCATAAATGGTGTGTGTGTAGACATGTTTTAAATAATATCATAGAAGAGTATTCTCACCTTAAATGAATTATATGTGTTTGTATCTGAAGCAAATTTCAGGAATTAAATTTTGAAATATTTGAAATGAAGTGTGACCGACAAAGGTCGCCGCACCTTCTTGTATTTAATATTATATACACAAATTCGTGTAATGATATAAAACTTAGTCGCATTAGTTTTAAATGTAGTTTGCCCATCATTTGCTTTAGTGTGTATTGAATAATAAAATATTGCAACTGCTTTTAAAATTTAAAAGTGAAAGTATTTTTATACCTTGACGTTAATAATATAGCTATGTGTATGGTGTAGATCTGTTTTTTTGTTTATAGAGTCAGAAATAAAGTATATATTTAGATAGTGATATCATTAAAAAAATTTTATCAGTTCTTTTTAAGATCTTCCTGTTGTGCATTACTATTATTCATTGACCAGTTGCAGGACATAAAAAATCAGTAATTAAATGTGTTAGTATACTCTGGAAAGTGGAGTAGTTTTGATAAGTATGAGAATCAGCTGTCTAGAATCTTGTATAGCTGTAGCAATCTTGATTTAACTTTTAATGAGGGAACATTATAATGTATATAATTTTATCATAGTTTGAAAAAAATAATCCAAGACATTGTATGAAAAATCAGTTTCAATGTTTAAAATGTGTATAGCATGTATGTTATACAGCCTAGCTTTCTGCATAAGTTAGTCTGAAGAAATAAAATAATAATTGAAAGAGCTTTATCAATAAAATTTTGAAAAACAAATGGTATATACATTCTGTAGCAGGTCTGTTTTGAAATGGTAGATGATGCCAAACAGCAGTTAGGAAATTTTTCATTAAAATATCAGAATTACTTTGTATTATCTGTAAGTTCATATGTTCCAATAAACACATGGAATTTTCTCATCTTTTAAACATTAATAATTTCTCTGATATGTATAACCACTCGTTTAAACATTCTCAACTTTCTGTCAGCTCGAGGGGCCCACCAGGTGCTGAGTGGTAAAGTTGTTGAACACTGCTAGTTTCGATCTAAGTTAGATTCCAGGCGAACAAGCTATCTGCATTGGCGTTTTCATGGTTTTCCTCATGATTAACTTGTATATGAGCCAGTTTTTCTTAGAAAGTCCTTCACAAAGGCTGCCTAAGGGAACTAAGGATACTAAGAACTGCCTAAGGATTGAGAAACTTTAAATATCGGGAAAAGTTTTTAATGTTATCTATCAATTACGGAGTATTACTTTATTTGGAAATTTTCCTTATTCCAATTTGCAATGATAATTAATTTTAACTAAAGCAATGCTGGTTAGTGAATTAATTAAAAGAAGATATACAAAACTATCTGATCAAGAGAAGTAATTGCTTCGTAGAGAAATTTCTAATTATCTTACATTATTACATTATCTTGCATTTTATAAAAGCCCTACATACCAAGCTCATTTACTAAGAGTTGAACTTTACAAAAATTGTTTATTTGTTTTATCTATTCAGACATTGGTTGAGTAGAGGTAGTTTTTCATAAAGCCTGCTTGGTATTCTCTTTCATTCTTTGGAAGTCTTTAATGTTTAGTCATATTTCTTGTATGCCAGATATCACCAGTTTGGTTAACGTTCTTACCTCTTTTTAATTCATCCCACCTTCCTAGCATGCCTTTGTGGTGTGGTGGTCTGCACACTGGACACGTATTCCAGAGTTTTCCGATGAAGGCATTGCTAATTTTTCAATTACTCTTGCCTGCTTCCAAAAGTACCTAATGTCTTTACAGTGGAACCTGAACTAAAAGGGTGGTGGATGATGATTTTCCCCACCCAGTATTTGGCGATTGGGTCCCCTAAAAACCCCAGTCGTCCTTTAAAAGAAGGAGTATATGAGGTATTTCTCCCACCTTCCTAGCATGCCTTCATGATGTGGTGGTCTACACACTGGGCATGTATTCCAGAGGTCCGCGGTTCGATTCCTGGCGAAAGCATTGCATATTTTTCATTTTGTCTGCTTCCAAAAATACCTAATGTCTCTACAATGTAACCACATTTTTCATGTCATTTAATTGGTTTTCGTCTTTTGTTGTTTTTTCACTGCAATGAATTTCATGATTTGTGATTTGCTGAGAGATGAATAAGTGGCTAAACTCTTTCTTCAAAAAGGAGCTATTCTTCACAAGGAAAGTTTGTGTTTGAATAACCACCTCATGAAATTAAAATGTGAATTAAGGTCAAAATGGCTACACAGTCTTCATTCTTGCCTTAAAGAAATATATGTCCAAACACAAATGTTTCTTGTTGGGTAATGTATTTGTTTTGGTACTAATTCATTTTTTGCTCAGTGTTGGTTAATGTATATTGAATTTTGAAAACCAAAGCATATTTCGGTTGATCTTTACAATATGGTAACTGGTAGTTTGACGACATTTTGGAGGCGCTTTTACTGGCCTTCTGTTACCGGTTCCTCCTGGCACTTTGGTAATAATGTGAGCAGTACTCAGTTCCGATTACGCATTATTTTGTGTGAGGGAAATGAGAGATTATGGGATATGTCATGTGATATTAATGGACGAATTACGGTTCTTTAATCGGAAAAGGGGGGGGAAATCGGGAAAAATCTGGAAATTTTGTATTTGGCTTTATTCTGTGTTGTGTGAAACAGTGTTCGTGAATTTTAGGTCCCATGGCCGTAACTAAAGTGAATTCGAAATGGGTTTTTATGTATGTATTAATTTAATGTATGTGCTCATTATATTTTTAAGTAGTGTTTTTGAATTTAATTATATTTTAATTAAATGATAGTTATTTTGTGAATTTTATGTTTGTAGGAATTTTGGTATACGTTTAAGTTGAAGTAAACGTGCATGGAAATAATTTAAATATTTGATACTAAGTATTGTAATGCTTGCGGTATGAATTCGTTGGTGACGTATATAATGTAATAGATGATTTAGAGGTAAAAGTTTTGGATATTTTATTTATTTTATATTTGGAAATGTTCATATTTGGAAAGGGTAAATACTTTTTCGCGATCAGGTCATTTCATATATGTTCTTTTTACCGGGTTTTAAAGATTGAGAAAATTGTCATGTATTTCGTGAAATTTTTCTAATTTATGAGAAAAAAGCAAAGTAAATGATGTGAGGTGTTTTGGATAAGTGCGTGTATGTTTTTGGGATTGTGGGAAAAATACGTCGGCGTACATTTTATGTGGTGTGGGGCGATTGAGTTGTTGTAGTTCGTGAAATTTTTTTATTTTATGATTTGGAAAGCAGTGTAAATAAAAAGTAGCGCAAATCTGTATTCGTGTAATCAAATGGCAAAGGAAAAATGTCTTACTGTAAGACAGGGCGGTTTGTGCACTTTTTCCCAAGCCATAATAAAATCAACCCAGCAGTCAGTAGATTGATACAAAGACAAAATGGCGGCGGGAAAAAAAAAAAAAAAAAAAACAAAAAAAAAAAAAAAAAAAAAAAACAAAAAAAAAAAAAAAAAAAAAAAAAAAAAAAAAAAAAAAAAAAAAAAAAAAAAAAAAAAAAAAAAAAAAAAAAAAAAAAAAAAAAAGAAAAAAAATAGAGGGTTTGGTCGCCAAATTTTCGCCAAAAAAAACGCCAAGTTACCATAATGTAAAGATCAACCCATATTTCAAATGATACATACTAGAATGGTTGATTTGATTAATTACATAAAAATGGTATGTGACAATTCTTTATTATCATCCTAACACTAAAATCACAAACTGGCTGGTGTAAAATTGATGAAAGCTTTAAGTCATATTCTTCCTCCACTATCGGTTTTCGAAGAATTTTGTTGTGAAATCAGAGATTGCATTTTATTGATGTTTCTGAGTATTTCATTTTATCTAGTATTGAACAGCAGCTTGTGAAAATAAATAACCCAAAATTTGCCATCTTGGCACCGAAAGTGTATGTTTTGTCTTTAATAGAAAAATACCCGAGTAGATAAGTATTGTAAACACAGGCATTTAAGAAAAAAAATATTGCACAGAAGAAACACTGTATTGGCATCTTTATTTCGTGATATGCAAACAGAATAATTTAGTGAGCCATAAGATATTATATTTAGATGTAAAACTCTTGTCATTAATGTAACTGTATTTATGTCAATAAATGATGTATTGCAGGAGATGCTGTTTAATGTTATTTAGGGCACTTTTTCATTCGATCAAGATGGCAGTGAAACCAAAAGTTGTTTTTGTGTTGGGAGCACCAGGTGCTGGTAAAGGAACCCAATGTAAAAGAATTGTCGAGGTAAGTTATTAATATAATGTTTTAGAAAGTAATACAGTCAAAAGTCGTTAATTCAGACACCCATAATCCGGAATGATCTATAATCTGGACCTCAAAGCTAAAAACTTTCTGCGCATGCGCCGCGTTGACACATGGGCATAGGCGTTTACGCGTGCGAATAAGACCTTTTACCACTGCGCATATGCGTGTGCGCAAGCACAGAATACGTTTTCACGTGCGCGTTTTATGTATAATGGACGGTATAATCTAAAATTATCTATTTCAGTTAATGTTGATGATTGCGTTGTTCCTTAATCTTCGAATTGGATCCGGCTTATTATTTTTTTGCAGACTGTAAGAGCAATTTTATAAAAGTAAACTTGAACTTTCGATTATGTCAAATAGAATTTCCGATTCTGGAGCTCCCAAAAAATCGTACAAAACAAAAGTATGTTTCGATGTCCATCAAACAAAAAGTGGAATTGCTGCAAAAAATGGATAAAGACATGAAGAATGTGACAGAGAGGTTAGTGAAAACGAAAAAATTTCGATTGACAAGTTAGTTGGTATTCTCCGCACAACAATTAACGGGACTTGAACAGCGGAACTTTGTAACTGAACTAGAAATTGTGTCTGTTTATAGAATTAAAGAGAAAGTATTATCACATAAAACGAAGCAACTTAAAACAACTTACATTGAAAGAAATGTTTAATAAAGTAAACAAATAAATATTAAGCTCTTTTTTTTTTGTAAATTTTGATACCCTTTAGGTTATAATTGTTCTTTATTTCATAAATTAAGGTTTCATATTTTTAATTTTAGAATTTCTGCATGCCATCTTACGAGATTTAAACTGATGATCTATAATCCGGAATCGCCGAAGTCCGGATTAACGACTTTTGACTGTATAAAACATTATCTTAATAGGCATTAGCTTAATTGCTTCTAAAACTACCATTAATAAGGTATTGCTTTTATGCAGTCGACATTCGACTGAAAAATTACAAATATCTGTGTGTTTTAATGAAAGTTCCCTTTTTTAATAAATTTCTTCATGTTGAACATGAAACAGCTACGAATCCTTCAGTGGTAGGTGATAGACTAGCTCATTTCTTGGGAACGTTTCTTCTAGCTTCAGTTTAGATGTGATAACCTCATTAACTCTCTGGCTGCTCGTCCCACGATTTTCATGGGCAACTCAAAGTAGCAAAATTTGCTCATCCCACGATTTTCGCGTGCATGTGTTTTTCTTCCTTTATTAAAAAGCGCGTCTTGCCTTTTCACCGTTTAACCAATGAAATAAATTATATGCAGTATTAGATATTTAATTTAGGTTTTGACCAACAGATGTTATTTAGTCATCCACTAAATTGTTGCATTTGAAGGTACTTAGTATTTACCGCTTTAACTTCACTGTGTTTGCTCCCTTTTTCTAATCAGAAATGGCTGCTAGACAATTTTCAGTGGTTGACATAGTATATATTCCGAATGATTTATCAGATTCTGAAAGTGATTTTAGTTTTGATAGTGATATAGATTTTTTCGAACTGCCCCTCAAATAGCGAAACTTTGAACCCTGTTTCAAACTACTAAATTACATTTCTAAGGTATTTGTCCCTAAGTGCATTATATTTTCTTAAGTTTTATATATTTTACTTTTTCTATATTGTGTAATGAATACAAATTAACTGTAATTCAACTGAAATTCATTTAAGCAATTTTTGTGTGCGTGTGTTAACATCTGAAATTGGTTTTTCTCAGCTTAGTTTCTCATGATAAAAATCTATATAAAAAATCTTTTCTATAAAGAAAAAATGCATCAGTTCTCCAATATATATAGATTCAAAATATGCATAAAAATGTAATTTTTAAAGCGATTTCAGTCCACATATTGAGCAGTCAGAGGGTTAAGCTTGCTGGTTAGTTGAATGCCAGTCAGGCTTTTACTGTAACTTCTGCTGTCTTCCACTCTAAATCTTGGAACATTTTACCTGTGAATATGAAGACATTACTGTATAAGAAATTAAATGTATGTAAATATGTTACATATATGGTTTCCTTCACATTAAGAATATTTGTTATAATATACTGCCTTTTGTTGCATGCTTTTGTTACAGAAACTTGTTAACTTTACATTGAGTAATCCTGCCGCTTGAAGGAAATCATTAGTCATAGACTTTTCTTCCCAGCCTTCTTAATCGTGGGGAGTTCTTGAAACTCTGTGCCATTTGTTTCACAATATTATCATTTATGCATTATGTTCATTCATTAGGCTTGATTTGTATAGTTCTAAAAGTTCTTTTATCTGTCTAAGGATTTTTTAGTAGTCTGTAACCATAAAGGACTGAATTGTGACTTTTAATTCTACAAAAATTTTTGTTAATATTGGATTCATGTAATAAAATGAAACAGTAAAAATACTTTTTCAAAAGGAAAGCACTGGTTTTTGTCTATGAAAATAATTAATAAAAATAAAATTATCTTGTATATTTGGTGTAAATTGATTATTTATATTAGAGGATCTACTAAATGTCTTTGGATAAGAAATGTTTATGTAATGCAGATTTATAATTTTTTTGCAAAATTACCTTGTATAGCCGTAAGAATTTTTGTATTTGAATCAGCTGCCTTATAGAATTTATCTATATAGCATATTCTTCTCATAAATGTTAACCTATAATTCTCTTATGAATACATTGTTATCTGGCATGTCTTGAAGTATGTGTGACTTATACACCACGTCTGGGACATATCCCCTTAGAAAGAAAATTGTGAAGTATAATGTAAAGTTAATTTAATTATTAATTCACAAAAATGAAGTAGTTATTACTAATAGTGAGGCAAATTTGGCAGCAAGGCAAATATTCAATTACATAATTTCCCAATGAACTTAGACAGATTTCTTTTCCAGTGGTAACTTCTAGTTAAAATAATAAATAAGTGTCTAATCTTTGGAATATGGTAACAAGTAGTTTGGCGACATTTTGGTAAGGCGATAAAGGTTACTAGCTAGGACTTTAGCAGTGTACATGGATAAAGTCAAGAATGTGCACAATGCCATTTTTGTGTAATTCTGGGATTTTTTTTAAGTGAAAATAGGTCGACGTGTACATGGATAATACCGTGTATGTGCAATTCTTAAAAACGCGGCAACCAGTTTGCAATTCTGCACTTTCTCCCAATTTCGCACCTAATCTTCATCATGATTAAGCATTTTTGTTCCATAAAAGTTCTAGTATAAGCGTAATTCGGCTAGCAGATTGTTGGAAAAAATTTTAAAATTTTAAGTTGGAAAAAATTTAAAAATTGTCCAATTTAATTTATTAAATTGGACAATTTTTTGTTGGAAAAAATTAATTTGAAAAAAATTTAATTTAAATTAAATTTTACTTTAATTTAATTTAAATTAAATTAAAGTAAAAAAAAATGCCTTTACTTCGTGAAAACAAAATGGCATCCAAAACAAAACTAGCAGGTTGCTGTAGCAGGGTTGGTCGCCAAATTTTCGCTAAAAAGTTGCCAAGTTACCATAATCCAAAGGTTAACCAAATAAGTAGTTGCTTTGTATTAAATGCCCAAAATAGTTTTTATTCTTTTCAAATAATTTAGTGTAATTTCAAACTTAAGCCAGAATTTTACTTCTGAGAAAGTGAGGTTTACATAATCTGTAACACTGAATTTTTCTCATTAAAAATATTAAACTAATTTATAAAAAGTTTTCTTGCTATATTTCTAAACAAGTACTAAGATTATTGCATGATATGCTTTGCTTCTTTATTTATTTAATAAGTAATAAAAAATTTATATTTTATTTGTAACTGTAAATGCAAAATACGTATAATTTTAAAATTATTTTCAGACTTTTGGATATATTCATCTTTCTGCTGGTGATCTTCTAAGAGCTGAGAGGAATACCCCTGGATCCCAATATGGAGAACTTATTGAAAACCACATTCGAAATGGAACCATTGTACCTGTCGAAATTACTTGCCGTCTGATTGAGGAGGTAATAATATCAAATGGTGTGTATTTGTTACTCTTATCTATTTGGGTTTCAATAACCTACATTAAATGGTTAAATTTATAGGCTATTAGGGCTGGAATAGATGTTGTAAAAATATTATTGTATTACTAATTAAATCCTAAAGTTCATCCGTTGCAAAATGTATGTAGGTTAACAAGATCTTTCATTTCATAAATTTGTTATAACTTGTATGTATATTTATAAACAATAGTAAAACCTTCATACAGATTATTTCCTCACTTAATCTCCATACTTTACTAAGCCTCACTCTGGATGTTTTAATACAATACTTCTCACCCGTTGATTATCCTAAAGATGTGACGAGACACATGTGTACTCAAGTATTGTCATGTGTTAGTATGAGATCTATTTATAGTAACCCAGATTATTTTTAATAAATTCTCAAATAATGGACAGAAATCATTATTTGTCATTTGCTGAGGCAATCACTAAGAAACAAGCTCTTGTGGTCCCAAAAGACTGTGATGTATCATAGTAATGGATAGAAATCATCATTTATCACTTGGTGAGGCAATCAGTAAAGAGCATGTTCTTGTGGTTCCCGAAAATATGATGTCTATTGACATTGTTTGAAGTTTCTTGGGAAGTTCAGGTGATGTGTGTTACCATGCCATGGATGCTTGCTTTATCTTCTGAGTCATATAATTCTTTTGTATGTATTCTCTTATGAAACATGTATGCATTATTTGGCGCTAAATATGAATATAATGATGCAAAAATGTAATTTTTCCTCATGATATTACAGGGGCTGGATAATGAAACACTTGACTAGTAAAACACTCCAAGTTTAAGCTAGTGTATTCTAGTCTAGCTGGAACCTTCAATCATTTCAAGAGCAGCATAGTGTGAACTTCGAATTTGTAGTAATGCTAGGGATACTGACATCAAGCATTGAGAATTGTAGGACATAAATCAGATATATTGAAGTTTAAAAAAATGAGTTTTTTGGAGATTTTTCTGTCTAATGATCAGGGGGGAAAAAATTCAACCCATTTTTAAACCTCATGCAAGAAACCTATTTGCATGAGGTTTCAGATGTGGGTTCAACAAAAATTCAGTTTTGGGTAGGAGACAGTTTATATCATAGTGCTATGAAATCTCTGGGAACACTGATTGTGCTTGTTGATTGCATAACTTCCAAAGAATAATGATAGACCAAATCCATCAGTTATTCTAACTTTGTAGCTAAAAAAATGTGCTACTTGTCAGGATGAGATTATAGCACCTCATGTGAGAAACTAATGACACATTGATTTGAAGCCATCTGATTGAGAAGGTAATAATATCAAATGGTGTGTATTTGTTACTCTTATCTATTTGGTTTTCAACAACCTACATTAAATGGTTAAATTTATAGGCTATTAGGGCTGGAATAGATGTTGTAAAAAATATTATTGTATGACTAGAAACATCCATGAACTGTTTGAACATTTCCACATCCTACATAATCTGTTGATCTCAACATCATTGGGTCTGAGTGAGATGTGCTCCAAGATCGAGTTTAAAAAATGTTTTTCTCCTCCATGAAATAATATAGCCATTATTTTTCAAAAGAAATGGCTAAAAATAAATTATTAAACAAGACCTTAACAATCATTTCCAAAAAGAATCATTTGGGATTAATTGAAAGTTATGTATTATCACTTTCACCATGAAAGTTGGGAGAGACCCCGTTCCTGCCGAATTCTGAAAGAACTGATACCACTTTATAAAATAAATAATCACACATGGTTCCTTATTTACTTATGAAATTAGCAGATACAGTTACAAATTCAGCATAAAAGAATACCTGTTTTGTTATTAAGAGAAAAAAATTTCCTCAACAGTATGGATCCTCTGCAATATTTGCTGATTTGAGCTTACTCCTTTGAGTTTCCTACAGACGAACTGGGGAGAACTCTGTGGTGATGAGTCATGGTAAGAGACAAATGAGTGCACTTTGTTGCCAATAAAATATGGCAACTCTAACAAGAACTATAACTTTGTAAAAGCGCACAGAACAGAGACTAGTGCACATATTTGAAGTCTTGAAATAAAGATCAACTTTTATTGTACATTATGCCTGAATGCAGCGAGAATATTTTATGTGTAATGACAACATCAGTATCAGTTCCATGTAGCAACAGTGTTTTACTTGCATCTTTGTTCATAAAAATGAAAGATGATTTATAGAGAATCTGGGTCAGGGTTATTCAAACAAAAGCCTAGATGTTGTGATTATGTTGTTACATCACACATATCCATGATTGCTGCTAAATTATGTTGCTTGACGACAGTTTATGATCAACAAAATAATGCATAAGTACCAAAGAAGCGTAAGCTTTCTAAAAAGTCTTGCATCATCCTATTAAAGTATTATATTTTAGATGTTCAATGCCTACTGTTCAATGGCTGTATGTGAAGTGTATGAAAAAAGTCTCTTTCTAATTGTCAATTAAAAGTTGCCTTAGTACCCTACTTGAATATTCTTCTGTATCCCATTTGTTCATAAATGATATTGTGTGTTGTTTCTACTGAGATGTTCTTGTCGTTAGCAGTATCAATAAGTCATATGCATTGCTGTTCTAGAATCAGAACTCCTAATGTTATACAGATTTTCACCTATAGATTTGATGCACCAAAACTCCCCTGTTTCTGTGATATAAGAAATATACCATACACTCTAGAAATAAACATCATCCATTGACACTCTTTGTAAATAAATCTGATTACATTACACACTTTAGTGTTTGACTATGTTTTCTGAACGAACAACAACATAGTACAACAGACGTCAAGAGAGAATGATATGAAATACTGTATAAAAGCATGTATCAGAGCTGCTGTTCAAGGCTGTTGCCTTGTAGGAAATTATAATGATATAAGAAATAATACACATACATGAGATACTTCAATAAAAATTAAAGTGAAATTCTTTAGAAAATGGTATGATTTTATATGCATTTAAAATATAAAAAAGTACTGTACAAACCAAAGTGAGTACTAATCAAAAAATTTAATTGAATTAATTTGCATACTCCTTATTTAACAGTAGTTTGCAGAATCTCTGAAATCCTTAAATTTTTCATAATCCCCAAAATAAAGTGTTTTGACTGTGTCTGTATATTTCTATATATCTGTATAAATGAAAATAATTTTTTATTTAATTTAATGATTTAGTTTGAAATTTTAATCTATTTAATAATAAGTTTTTATCATTCTGTATTGCACTTTTTGTAAATATTAATGAATATTTTGCAAGTATAATATTTTAAAACCATCATAAAAAGAATTATATGGCATATTACACTGCATATTTTTATATGCAATTTAATTTGTCACAATCAATTTTATAATGATATTAATGTTAAAATTTTTATTTTAATTGGTATTTCATTCTTGGCTTTCTTCCTCCCAGGCTATGAAAACAAGTGCAAGTGACAAATTTTTAATTGATGGATTTCCTCGTAACAAAGATAATTTGGATGGCTGGAACAAAGAAATGGCTGATAAAGCTAATGTTCAGTTTATCTTGTTTATTGACTGCTCTGAAGAAGTAAATACTGTTTTTATTTCCTTTTATCTAAGCATTAGACTATGTTTCTGAAATATATTTAAAGAAATCTGTTTGAAATATTTTTCAAAAAATTAGTTATGAAAAGAACTTGCATATTCTATTAGCAGAATATTTTTAAATTTTAAGTTAAAAGTTTTTTCGAAATGTAAGAAAATATTTTATATACAACTGTGCAGTCAATTCAAATTCAGAATTTGTAAAGGGTAATCAAAATATCCATTGAAAGCCTGTAAGCCTAATATATTCAGTGTATTTAAAAGAAATCACAGTCTGTTCAATAAGTCATATGCATTGCTGATCTAGAATCAGAATCAATGTTATACAGATTTTCATCTATAGATTTGGTGACCTAAAAAGATAACTTCAAATGAAAGAGAAAAATGCCCATGCATGAACTTTATCATTTTATGTGATAGGAACTTTTCAGTCCTTGTTTTGGAGAACACTTTTGGCCTTTTTCATAAAATATTTATTTATTAAATCTTTGATTTTCTGTTAACTGTATAATTTTTGACAATCCCCTGCCTCTCCCCAAAAAATTTTACTGCAGTGGTTTAAATAATACGAAGCAGCAATATCTGAATGAAACAGTTAAGTAAATATTTTCTATTGATATTTTTTGTTTTAAGTCATTCTTGCATTATTTGATTTAGTGTTATCCTGTTGAAGAATTACATTTAATCTATTGTTCACCTCGTGTCACTTGTGTTTAGAATCTCTTTCAAATTATCCTTTTGATGACAGCAGAATGTATAATACTTTCTGTTAGTTCAAAAATAACTTCACCTTTCCTATGCAAAGCAAAATCACCTTTGAATGCAATATTGCCTATCTCCAAGACTTGGTCTTACTTCTGAAATCCAGCCATTATATTTTATAACTAAGATTAATATAAAGAATTCTTTTCTCATTTTCAGTCGCAATACATGTAAATTCTTGTGAATAGAAAAATTCAAATCAATTCATGGTACACATAGTTAGGAGCTGTTTTTTTACAAAAAACCTTTTTGGCCCTTTCTGTTTATCTGCATCCGCACTGAAGCAAATTTTAAGCACTGAAGTCACAAATTTTTTTACTTGGCATTTATAAACTCGTTGGTGACTAATTTTTTTGCCAAGCTAATGGCCAAAAGTCAAGAGACATTTTTAAAATGCCAATGCACTAAGAATTCCATAAAAGAACAGTCAATTAAGCAAGAAACTTTAGTAATAAATCTGTTTGAGAAATCCTGTAATCTTTTTTTGCTGTTGTTCTCCCTATATACAAAGCAATGTGCTTTTCCTAAAAGTAATTGGAAGATGGCACAAACTTGGCATCGTGCACAACTTTGGCACTGTGCACCAACCAGCAATAAATAAAGTGAATAGCTGTTCTTAATGAGGTATGGCTATCTTTGAATCAATTTCTGACTCATGTTCTAATACTTTGCTTACAGTTTTTCACATTTTATTTCCATAAAAGTTACTCATTTAAGAAGTATAACTTCATAGACTGAGAATATGTGCATTTCCTACTCTTTGACAAAGTGCCATATTTCTAGAAAAGTAAAATGCTTTCTTTTTTATCAGCCATTAAACTCAACAATTCTATCATTTATTATATGCAGCTGCAAAGAGAAATGCTTATCGGAAAAATGATAGTTGAAGACTGCAGGTATAATCTAACACTCCTTGCCACAAGAAATTCTGTGGGCTTGGGCTGACTACGTCAGACAAGTGAGCATAAACAACATGACAGTTAAATTTCAAAAAGACAAATCCATGTATTCATAAACAAGTGTATGCTAACCCATATACTTGCTACATAAAATCCATTTTGGCAATATCTTGGGTTGCCACATAAGTATTCTGGCAACTTATTGCATTGCTTCATAAATATTTTGTTACAACTTTTTAGTGGAGATTGATGATAAAGAGAAAGTGCTGACTTTTCTAAACATTTATTAGCATTTTTGCTTTTAAGTTAATCTGTAAAAGAATATCATACATTTTCCTATTTCAGGCTTGTATCGAAAGATGTTTAAAAAGGGGAGCTGAGGGAAGTGGACGTTCTGATGATAACATTGAAAGCTTAAAGAAAAGGTATGTTATATTTCTTGATTCAGATAGTTTCTCTTTCCAACATAAATTTAATTGTAAAAGATCATCAAAAATATTCTTATACTGAAAATTGAATAAGTTCATTCATTTAAAATATTGTGTTACATTTAAATTGAAAACATTTTTAATATAGTTATTGAAACCAAATACATTTGAATACATAGTACAAGTTTGTAAAGGAAAGGAGCTTCCTGAGATCATTCTCAGTATAATTTTAAAATTCTAATTTTGTAAATCTATACAGATGTCTTGCAAGTTGTACTCAAACTAAATTGTCTTTCATATTTTTCTGTATAAGATAACCAGATCTGTATTATTCTCTATACAAATTTCACATCCTACAACTATGTAAAAATAGCATTAATCAAAATAATCTGTAATAAATTCACCTATTTAGCCTGGAAAAAATAGAAGTATTTATGAATATAGTGAAGAATTCTGGGTTTTAAGACAATCCAGGATTCTTCACTGTGTTTTCTAAAGTCTGTTTCACATTTTTTAAAAGACTTTTATTATTAAAGAGTTGGTATTTTAATAGTTCCTAATAATTTAATGGCAAATCAGAGAAATGTGATAAAAAAGGTTGTCTCATAGTTTTATGACTGATATTGCTGAATAATTTATATACTTTATCATTAACTCTCTGAGCGCCATGACTGAACCTAACCTGTCATGGGATTTTTTATAACTTGTTATATATTAGCTTATAATTTAAGATATTTTGCTTTCTTACTTTCATTAATAATACAAACACCATCTTGATGTAAGTTTATGAAAGTAGAGACTAAAATTGGTAAATATACATATTTAGCTAATAAAGACTAATAAAAGGCTCTTTAAATACAGGTCTTCATGACAGATCCAAAAACCCAGGCTGCTGAGAGGGTTAATTCCAAAACTTAACTACTGCTCTAAAACAATAAAGTGGCCACATATATTATCATGACATAAAGGGGATAATGTTAATGAAACTGTTTGTACTGTAATTTTTATAAACAAAAGCACTTGCTATAATACAGTGTCACTGATTGAATTAACAGCCCTTTAAAATTTTCCTGTCACTATTATTTATGTTTGGCATGTATTGGATTTTTTTTACTTGCATTACTATTTGTTTAACTAATCATTGGTTTGTAAGAACAAAATTATCTTCAATACAGTACAAAGTCCGAAATTCGAAGGTCCATTATCCAAAATGATCTAAAATCCGGACCTCAAAGCCACAAACATTTTTTTTATTAATGCTTTACGGATGCACATTTGATTTTTCTTTCCATAATAAAACATAAGGAGATTTTCACTTAAAAATTCCGATTCTTAATTTCACTTAGGCGCTAAATAAAATACCTCATTATGGAAAAACAATCATTTAAGCATAAGTTTGTGAGATTAATAATTTGGCTCTGTAGCTGAGTATCTTCTAAGCACAATCTCAAACCAAAACATTCACCTATTTTATATCCCTGATGCCGACCTGGCAAGTCATTATTTATTATATTTTGCTTTCATCACCTCATGTTTATCAATACATGACAGCTTCAGTAATAACTCATGCAGTGATGTCTAAACTTTTTTTTTATATTAGTAATTGAATAACAAGAGTATGGCAACCTTTTATGCTAACATTATGCTTGGCGATGATTATAGATTTTTAAATGCTCTAAGAAATGTTGACGAGGGAA